GAAGGGATGATCTATCCAGGGTGCAATATAGCACTGGTAAAACCCATAAATATTCTGTAGTGCTTTAATATTTCTTCCCCTTACTCTTATGGTCTTAATTTCACCTCATTAATCTTGTGAGATCCATTTATGTTCATTTGTAATTAAGGTCATTCGGTGCATGAAATCCAAGATAGATAAGCCCTTCAGAAATAGTCATCAGAGTAATGACTCCCTGAGGATACAGGAAAGTGGAGGGGAAGAGGAATTGATAGCAATGATGACTGTATAACTCCACTTGAGGGGAATAAATAACAGAATTGTAGGTGAACAGATACATTGGATGGTGTAAGATATGGCAAAATAATACTAACAATAATATAATAAGGTTTCCTGGAGGGAAGGATAGAGGAGGAGGGATAAAGGGGAAATGATATCAAAGAGTCCAAGAAGAAAGAAAATGTATTGAAAATGGTGGTGACAGCAACTGTCCAATTATGCTAATTGACTTATGGATTGTTATTATATGTGTAAGAGCTCCCAATAAAATGATTTTTTAAATTGCCCCTTTTACTTAAATGAATTCCATATAATAATCTAATTTAAGTTATTTAGACAGGTTTTGTTTTTTAATAGTTTAAATGCTTTATAGTATCCGTTAACAAAGAAATTTAGAATATTTGTTCCTTTTTACGGCTATATTATACCAATCTCTCCCTTTCCCCTTCAACAAAATCTATTATTTCCAAATGCACCTGCCAAACAGGCTGATTTATATCAAAATTTCTCAAAGACACTCTTAAAAGTGCAAATAAGAAGATTGACACGAGAAGCAAGTTTTTCCTGGAAGGGGAAAGAACTAACACTTAATAGGTTATTCAGAAATATCTTAGCATGAATTCTTTTAAGTTCTCTGGAAGTCGGGAGAGTATGGCCTTATAAAAGGGAGCACTATTGGGGGAAGAATTCAGATCAGTGCAAAGGGTGTTCAAGGCAGAAAACATCATCTATGTGAAGAAATGGTTTACTTTGTTCTAGGAAGCTGAATAGGCCATTGCAATGAAAGCCTAGTTATAAAGACAATGATATGAAGCAAGGCAGGAAAGGTCAGAGGAGGCAAACTCTTAACATTTTTATTGTTTGTTGCTTTCATTGTTGTGGTAATCAAATTGTAAGCATTTTTCCAGTTCTAGTCTTTTGTTATATATAAGTAAAATGTACACTACCATTTTTATTTCAAAAAAAAATTACCCACTGGAAAATATATTTAAAGGAAAAGAGGAGCTTGTGACTGCAGGTACAACATTTTGTATATTCTGTGTTCACACAGTGCTATGTTCTGATTGACGAGAGTGGTAACCAAACCAAATTCATTGAATTTGCCATTGAACTGATGCTGTCTCAAAGCAAACACAGGGCCTACAGCAGGGATCAATGTGCTGGCCACACTTTTGGCAGCTGGAGGGTTGGGCACCTTGACAGGTAGAAAGGAAAGCTACATGATGGGGTCCGGATGCCCTGCTGACTTCTTCACATAGAGTTCCAAAGTGATGCAGCAGGTGTATTTGTTATCATTAGGCACACAAGTTTTCATTTGAGTGTGTGAGTTGAACTAATCCTTGAAGTGGTTCATGGAAAGCTGAAGAAGGTGATTTACAATGGTCCCTTCTGTCTCTCATCTCCCATTGACCGGGGTTTACTCCAGACCTCCTAGAAAGCCAGATTCCCTGTCCAATTTCATACAAGTGTGTGCTGGTCAAGAGAGAGAAAGGGACAGGCCATGGCAGGAATTGGGAAAGCATACCATATTTTATCCAGCTCAGGAGGGAAAGTAAATGGTCTAGTATCATTTTATCTTTATCTACTTAGATTAGAAGAACAAACCCACCGCCATTGAAGAATTCAGACTCATAGCAACCATACAGGACCGAGTGGAACTTCTCCTTAGGGCATCTGAGACTGACTCCAAGAAGATTGTAAGGTTTTAGGGAAGCAGGCAGCCGCACCTCTTCTCTGGAACCATTTGGAACCACTGACCTCGAGATTAGTGGCTCAATGCTTACCCCGCAGCAGCATCAGGGCTCCCTATAAACTAGACAGACATGCAAAAGGGGCTCATAATAAGCCTCCTACAATAAACAGTTAATATGGCATAGCCCAGGAGTATGTGTAAGCCAATATATAGTACTTTACATAATCTTTAAAAGTACATAATTTTCATAATTTTGAAGGCAATCCTCATTAGAAGTGCTTTCATAATGGGAATATAAATTTTATCACATTGTCTACAACAGGTTTAGCTTTGTGTTCATCCCTCTTAATGTAACGAAAAGGTGTATGTATAGCCAAGGGAAATAATTTATTCAGCTTTTTCTGCGTATTCAGTCACTAAAGCCTATTGGTCACAAATAAAATGGAGGTGTTCAGTATATTCACACACTGTTTTGAGTCTTGGTGGCATATGGGCTACGCATAGAGCTGTAACCTGAGGTCAGCATTTCTGACTCGCCCGTCAGTCCTTGAAAGAGTTAAAATCGCAGGAACCCTAGGAAGCAGTTATACTCAGTCCTAAAGGGTCCCTATGAGTCAGAATTGTATCTTGATAGCAGTGAGTTGAGTTTGTGGGGCCGGGGCGGGGGCGGGGAGATGGAGGATTTTGTATTATACTAATTTAGGACTCTGAAAATTGATTTTTTTCAAGTAATTTTGAGTTTATTAAATTAGATACTTATTTTGGTCTTGAGATTATCTTAGATTCCTTTCTAAGTCTCTCCTTTTTTCTTTTGGTGGGTGTGGGGCTCCCTAGTTTTCTTTGTTAAGTGTGTATTTTCTCTGTACACTGGAAATATACAGTCTTCTACATATATTCCAATTTTAGCTATCCTTCTCCTGTTCTCCAAGTATAAGTTGTTTTGATTTTGGATTTTTCATATCTTGAAGGTAGATTATTTTATCTACTTTAAATGACTTACACTCTCTATCTTATATCCAAGTTCTATGTACTTCTATTTTACCTTACCTACCTGTCATATGCAATGCATATGTACATATATGATATATACAGATAAACAAGGTAGAATAGACGTTGTAATCTTGTATGCATGTTTGTATGTATGAATATGAGAGAGAGAGATATAAGGCTATCTGCTTTTGTAAAGAGTTACAGCCTCTGAACCCTTATCTATGGAGGGTAACTATGAGTCAAAATTGACTGACGGCAGTGGGTTTGGATGTATGTAGCTTATCTTTATTATATAAGATTTTGTGGCATTCATTAAATCATTTATAGAGCACAAAGTTCTCTGTAGCTATATTTTACTTAGAAACTATGATATTTATCTTTGGAGTAATATAAAGTTGGAAATATATATTTCTGACTATTTTTCAAAGTAATGTTTCATGAGTTCTTTCAATTTATTTTAAAGGCTTTTAAGGAGAAGTAGTTTTGTATTTGTATTTTACCAAAAGTAAAGATTCAAATTAATAATGTATTCACTTTATTATGTAACACCAGATTGTTATTTTTTCTAGCAAAAGTTCTCATTTATTTGTATGTAACTGCCTGAAAATCTTACCTTAAGGACAAAGAAAGGTCACCAATCCCTCTAAGTCCTGGTTCTTTGTCAAAAATGGACACAGTTAATGAGGTTTGTTTGGTACAGAACAAATTCTCAGACACAGATAGAGATCCTTTCAATGGAAACAAATTTGTTTGGCTTTACCAGGTTACTTAGCGATTAATAATAGCCTTGAGATGCAGGTCAGCAAGGTCATTGTGCCAGCTTGCCAACACAATCTAAATGTGCAGCTAGGCCAGCTCTGTGGGTGCCAAAGCCCCCCAAATACTATGCATAAAGCAAAACAGGCTATTTCTGAGTCCTTTTTCATACTAATAAGCAATTTTCAAGAGAAGTGTGGCAAAATGGGGGCCATGCCACTCCAAGTAATTCATTTATTTTGCAATTTAATCTTATGTTGAAAAAAAATTACTCTGCTGCAGTAGCATAGCATGGTGATTTTTAAACGTCAGTGTGTTTCATAAGTAACCTTGTATGAAGTATTGTATGAGTAGCCTTTAACAGAAAATTGCAGCAAAAATATTTCTAGAGATTAAAGTAGGTATAAGAATCTTGTTTATTTTTGGAATTTTCTACTCTCTCCCTGATATCTTTGGGGAAAATGCTCAGATGATTACTTAAATGTCCACAGATAGCACTAAGTTATGGATCATTTGAAAAAACAAACAGTAAAGTGCAATTTCAAAAAATTATCCTAGCATGAATAGTTAGATTTGTACCTGAAAAAAAAGTAATATATTTTCCACATTTAATCTTATCTTATTCTATTTAGTATGTGTTCTTCATTTAGTATAGCTTAAAAATGTATTTTCTGTTTAAATTTTATATATATAAATGAACAGTTTTGTTTTTAATGGAATTTAGTATCCTTAAAGACTGCAAGTTATTCAAACAATTTAACTTTGCTGTAATTATTCTTATAATGGATAAATTCTAATTTGAAATATAGTATAATAAATATAATGTAATAATATTTAATAATGTTAACTGAAGCCAATGCACAATAAACAATTGTGTGTGTTAAACCCTGCCATATTTTAAAATTCAACCCATTAATTAGATTACCAAATAAATCATCAGAGATCCAGAAATTAAAAAAAATCGAATTGAAAGGAAATAAGAATTTGAGATGTGTTCTTGGGATAAAAGCGTGTCCTGTATCACTAATCTTCAACCAAAGAAACTGATCTTGCAATAAATCATGTCCTGTGCATTTGACGGATTCCCCCAGTTATTGATTTGATTACAACCCATAGGTATTCGATTTTAAATGTGTCATCCACTGTTCGATCACTTCAAGGCTTTTTACAGATTGCAAAGATCATATAGCTATATCACACCCCTGATTTTGATGGAGCTGGATAATGGATTGCCTTCCAGTGAAAGAGTTAAAACGTTAGCAGATTTTGATCCCATAAATAACCACAGACTCTTGTGCTGCAGTGAGGCCCTGGAAGAGTTCGCCGAGATGAAAGAGAGGGAAGAGAAGAAGGCCGAGCTGGAAAGGCAAGAGAAGGAAAGAGATTACCAAGCTCGAAAGATGCATTACCTCCTCAGCACAAAGCAGGTTGGTCTACCTGTCCCTGACAGCTCCCCCGCGCCACTTGGGCCTCGCGCTTGACAAAGATAAACTAGCAGGCTGAATGCGACATGACTTGTTGAAAAGATACCACAAAGACACTACTTCGAGCTCAATTTCGTGCTTCTCCGTAGGCACGCTCAGACACCATGACTCCTGTGTGACAGCAGCTTCATAGAGGCGGCGCTGGGATGCGGACAGAAATGTCCCGTCAGCAGGGTGAGCTGCCACTGATAACACAACACGAAGGGCATAACCTCACTTTACAAACTCATTTTGAGTACCTGATTGCTGTGCTGCGAGTTGATCAAGAACTATCAAGTTATTAAGCTGAGGTGGCTTGTACGTTTTTTGTTTTTGTTTTCTCTTTCTGTTAGTTCATTAACATCTCTCCAACATTTCACCACTGTGATGGGATGTTCTCAGGTACAGCTTTTTAGCAACGTCACTTCACCAGTTTACCTTACATCATCATATAGAAATATTAATGTGGAATTTGGAACACTCTGACGTTGACTTTTATTTCTTTGGCACAATTCCAGAGTTTGGCACAACAGCTAAGTAGCAATATATGACATATATTATATGGCATATATAATATTGCACTCCAAACACACTGTGGTTGTAAAGCATGCGTTTGGAGGTTGAGAGGTGCTTTAATACGTGAGTTCTTGTAAGGAAAGTAGCAATTTAGACATGTTTTCTTTGTTTCTGCAAATGTTTAATCCCCTAGTTCCAGCCCAGAATAACATAATCAAATGGCTTCAAATGCCTTCAAATGTGGGCACATCAAGTCTCAGTGGTAGAAGACACAACTTCAAAGTGACTGTATTCTTGTTGCTGGTGGGTGCCTTGGGGTTGGTTATTGGGTCATCCAGATCCACCTGTGGTGTGGTAGAACCATCCCCTAATTTTCTAAGCTATCATGTTTATGGGAGAGGATTTTAAGGTCCGAGAGCTCTTTTCCCATGGAGTTGCTATGTGGTTTCGAACATCCAACCTTTAGGTTAGTAGCTAATTACTCAACTCTTTTGCCACCAGGGCTTCTGGACATCATCCTTGGAGGCATCCAGATAAATGGAATGACTACTGGCCGACTATATGCATATTCGGGTCACAGGTCTCCTGTGCCACTAGTCTCCATGTTTATCTAAACAATACTTTACAAAAATAATTATTGTCTTAATATTAATTTGGATTTGTATACTTGGGTTATTTAGCAGTAGATGCAGAGACATTACATGACTGGTTACAGATGCAAAGTGAATAATTGACCTCATACTTAAACTGAAATCTTTTAACTCTAAATTCTTAAATAATGATTTAAGGAACTAAAAAATAAAGAGGTAAACTTTTAGCATGATAAAATACATAACAACATAAAAAATGCAGTTGTTGAAACTATGGAGCCATGAACCAAATGCATTGCTATTAAGTGGATTCCAACTCATAGCAGATCTACAGAACAGGTTACAACGCTGCAATCTTTATGAATGAGGAGCCAGTCCTTGGAGGGGGTCTAGAAGACAGAGACCCTCAAGGACGGGGAATGAAACACTGGTTGCCGCAAGAGGCTCAGAAACATAGCAATGATTGTGATCCAGTGCTGGGCTGCTAACCAAAAGGCTTGCTGTTGGCAGCCATCAGCTGCTTCAATGGAGAAAGATGAGTCCATCTGCATCCAGAAGGATGTATAGCCTCGCAAACCATGTAAAGCATCTCTACTCTGTTTTATAGGGCCACTATGAGTTGGAATTGACTAAAACATCAAGTGAGAAAAGAAATTTAAAATTTCAACAAACATTTTTATGATTATGTTTTATCTCAGGGCATTTAGGTATTTAGTTTGTAGTAGAATGATGTAGAAAGTTCACAGAGACTCCCTTGTTTAATAAAAATAAAATAACAGTAATCTATGGAATGTTTAAATGTGTCAGGCAGTTTGTGAGAAACTTTTTGTGCATTATTTTAAAATGTTTTTATTTCACTTTATTCATATCCAAAATGCTTTCCTCAATGGTCCAACTCTATGGTATGAATTCAGTTTTTAAATGAAGCACCTGACTTAACAGACAGTTTCACAAACATGACCAGGTAACTTGAGACACTGGCCTTAATGGATTTTCAGATAATTCTCCCCTTGAGCTCTGAATATGTTTGTATTAACCAATACAAGCTATGACTGCTCTACTCTATTTCCCTGCTTGTTTATACAGAAGTGGCCCTTGATAATATCAATGTATGTACACGTTCGTGTGGTAGACCCTCTGTCTCTAGAATCCTCTGTCATCCAATCCAATAACTGCCTTTGAAGAACTGTTTTACAAAGCTCATGGTCACTGTCATCAGACAGAGTTCAGTTGACATTCCAGCTCTCCCACTGAAAGTAAAATACTGGTTGTCTGTACTCCACTGAGCCTGTTTCCTTCTGTAATGTAGAATAATATAAATCCACCTTGAAAGAGCATTCTGTGGATTAAATACATTTAAAGCAGTTTCAGGGCTTTAGAAGACATGATGCATTGTAACAATGCCATTATTAGACTTTAACCTGTCAAGTACTATGATTCTGCTTTCGGCTTTCCTCGATTGACGTTACTATAGAAAACACTTATCTTTGGGTTTACTTTCTTCTCCTTTAGTTACTAATGATGATTGGTTAAAATTCCGTAAAGTTGCCCATCCTTCCTATCTTTCACCTGAGTTCATAGACTTAAGGACATTCCTGAGAAAATTATGTTCAGAAATCATCTCCTTTGGACATGAAGTGTTTTGGTTTGGATCTAGCAGGTTAGTATATGTTGACCCAGCGACCTTAATATTTGGTCACAAGCAACTTGAGATGGCACCACTTTTCTCAGTTTCATCTGCATATTTCAATCAGGAAATTGGTTGTATTGATAGGATGCTCCTAGAAAGTCACAATGTTTTATTTCTTATGTTCCATGAGATTTGCTTTCCTTTCTTAAATCACTATTTTCATCCATTAGAAAAAAAGATTGATTCTTAAAACTGATTCTACAAATCGCAATCATAAAAAATCTTGACCAAAACAAAAATCAGTTTTAATGAATAAAGTAAGTATGATTCTTAACTTTTAAATCCACCAGATACTTTTTTTGAAGATAATTTTGAAGGTCAACCATCCCTCTGGGACTGTTTAGGACTCTGGGATGTAAAATTGTGCAAGACATGACCCTTAGCCACATGGAGCACACAGTCTGACAACAGCCAAGCATCTTTTAGTTGAAGCAAATTGTTATCTTTCCATTGTGGAGCATATATGTCCTGTACTTTTACACAAATTATGCATGGTTTATCTGATTTTCTTGTAGACTGGATCCTTCTCACAAATATCTCTACTACCATGCTGTGCTAATTGTTAACACATTGCTGTGCCTGTGAGGAGGACGAGGTTGGCAAAAAATGGACAGTGTATGCATTATTTGCATAAGACATACTGTAGGTTGGAACTAACAGCCTTACCAATAGCCGTTCAACATTTTATTGCCAGTTTGTTTTCTTTGTAAAGAAAACACTTCCCTTAACCAGTGAAGCTCAGCGAAGGAAAGACACATCCTTTAGTCTGAGTGTTGTCACAGACATCCTGACTTCCCTTTTGGGAAGAAATTAAGCTCTGGATATTTCAGTATTCCCTAGTCACTTATTCACAGAGTACTTTTACTGCTTTTTAAAGAGGTTTGAGTTTGTATTAAATCTGATCTTAATCACAAAAGGCCAACTCTACATTATTGAAGGCTATTATTTTAAAAGATTTTATCAGATTTACTTTCAATTCCTGCAAATAATGTAAAATGTCCTGCATAAATATCCAAATGTAAACAATTTTTGTAAGAAGTATGCGAGGATAGAAAATGTTTTGTTGACCTGCTGAAACAATTCTACAAGCATTTTTAGCAAGAAGAGAACACTATTTCTATTGAGAGCTTTAATGATTTAGAAATGACATTAATGCAGTTTACAGAATACTAATTTTATATTTAAATGCCTATAGTGATAGAAAAGCATGACTTTAAAAAGTAGAAATAAAGAAACTATTTCAGAAAAATAATGTAAAAAGGTTAAAAATTTTGTCATCCAAAATGGTTTCTATATTCATGTGCAGTTAATAGAGAAACTAATGAACTATTTAATACATTAATTTTAAAATGATTACACTGATCCGTTGACATATTAGTGTACCAATGGCATAGTTTTAAAGTCAATTTCAATCCCATTTTTAGTACAAACCCAATGTATATCTTAAAATAGTTATAAAAGCTATTGTTCATTTTTACTGGTATCAATTATCTCATCATTATTCAAGCAAATATGTTAGTGCTAATAGGAATTACACAAGTAAATAACTAATATTGCAATGAGTGAATTAATAGACCCCTCAGGGTTTTATTAATTAAAAAGTTCAAGTCATATTAAAGCACCTTTTGTATATGTTTATTTCAATCAGAAAGCTGTGCATGGAAACTTATTTGCATAAATAATCAATCAACATTTACTAGTTGTAATAAGGTTAATTTGTTGCTACAGACATAATAGGATTAGTCAATTATATTTCCCAGAAAATACTATTTGTTATGCACCCCATCACCTGTAAAACAGGATTGAGTTTAGTGGGTGCCCTTATTAAATGAACACATCAAAAATTCTTTGTCCCTGTAAAAGTTTTATGAAAAGAAGACTAATTTTCGTTTATTTGAATAAAATAAAATGTAAACATTGCCTCCATTTGTAATTGTAATTTATCTTTTGGCAAAGATTGATTATTTAATAAAGTTATTTATTTTGATTCAGTAGGCAGTCAAACTAAATCTAACATATGTAGGACATATTTCCTTTGAAGAAAATCTCATTTGTAGTTTTGTTTTATTCCAGATAAACTGACTTTCATTTCCTTGTCCTTCTTCTTAGGTAATAAATTATGTTGTCTGCTCCATCTACTGGTAGAGATATGCAAAGACCTATTGTTG